TCGTAGGTCAAACATAGTGAGTTGAAGTATTTCAAATGATGGATTTAACAGAAACGAATTTTAGCCTGAATCATGGGTCAAACGGGTTCGAATCATTGGCCGAGTGGGGTCGAACCATGACCAAGCGGTCGAATATTGGGCGAATTAGCAGGCAAAATTGATTTTTGTTGTCAAATTCTATGTTTGCAAGACCTGTATACCAGTGCAAATTGCAGAATCATCTAATATTATTGTGCAGTTAGCTAGAATAGCAGATTTGCTGATTATTTACACGACTGCCACAAGAAGGCTTTCCCATTATCAAACACTAGATGTTTTTTAAGCGACGACAAATTTGTCACTAAAATCTGAAAACTAGAAACTAAATAAATAAGATAAAAATTACCCATTCAAATTAAAATTAATCAAATAAAGAGAACAACTGAATCGATCCGAACAAGTAAAAACGTTGCAACTCTGAAAATTTTCTTTCAAAGAAAATTATAATATGTAAAATACACATATGCAAGAATGGCGTACAAAAATGTAAATTCGGAAAAATTGAATCCATTCGCGTGTTGGCGTCCATACAAGAAAAATGTTTTTCTCACAACTTAGAATATGGAGTTTATAGAAAAAACGCTTATGATTCAATTTTCACAGAAAAAAAATGTATGATACGCTTTTTTTTTCAATCAAAACGTTTTCATTCGAAAGTTATTTTAACTTGATTTAAACCCAAACAATACACATTAGTGGCAGCTTTTGTTGTTACAAAAACTTATCATACAATTGAGTATATGAAAGTTGTAGGATATGCCTTTTTACATAGAAAAAAAACAATTCTGTGGTAAAAAAAAATTCCATGATGTTGTTTTTGATTGCATACTCGCTTTTGAGTTCAAATAAACATTTCATGAAAACAATTTTGCACATAAAATTTGGTGTTTTGTGTATATTATGTAGCCCACGTTGATTTTTCCACCAAAAAATCGCAAGCAATTGTTTTTAATAAGAAATACAATTAATAATTTTCTTTTTTCGTATGCAAAGAAAGACATACCGAAGTTTGTAAAAAAAAGCAGGCCTCTCATTACGAGGCCAAATTTTGCACTGAATAGGCGCACATTTTTGTGTCTGTATGTTCCTGGTTTCTAGGGACAAGTCTTTAAACATATTAAAATTTTGTCAGAACAATCAAATGACGAACAAAAAGAACAAATGAAGAACAAAAGGAGCGTCCTTATTGCAGAATCCGCTCACATTTCTGAAATGCGCAGTTTGGCCTCGTATAAAATGCTTTTAAAAAAATTAGCCATATACAATAATTTACTTTTTAGCATATAGCTTTGATAGAAAATATTAACATTAACTTACATGGCTAATATCACCAAATGCAGTTTATCTGCGTGTTAACTGCCACTTACACTCTGGGTTTTCTTAGGATAGAAATCTTTTGTTATTGTGTTTGAGATCATGAGATCAGTATGAAATTGCAAGATCAGCATTTTTGTCAACCCGGCTTGCGAAGAAAAAACTTTGTTTTGGCACCTTTGACGCGATTACAATTGAGCAGCCTCTAGCTCTACGTAAGCTTTTTTATGATAGCCAAGCTCATTTTAAAAGCCTTGCGCATTTAAACTTGATCGATATTATTACGTTATAAACACATAACATTTCTTAACATTTTCGTTTCTCGGAATCTGTGTTTTCGAACATCGTTAAAATTGTATGAAAACCAAGACACTCGAATGGTATAAGTTTGTTTGGGTAGTTTATGTTAAATGTGCATGATCAAATTTCAGAAACAATTTTAACGACCTGTAAAGATATTTCTTAGTTAGAAAGTTTTATTGTAGAACACATTTGTGGCGCATTCAATTTAAATGGCTGTTATAAGGGGCATATTTTATCTTGTCTGAAGTAAGCTTTTCAGAGTGTAGACCTCAAAATCAGCGTCGGGTTCAATATTAATCTGTACCCTTTCTTTTGTTATTTTGTGAATAAAATGTGAATCTTAATTGAAAAATGAAGCTTTTCGTGAACAAAAGTGCTTAAGTAGACGATACGCATGACACAATTTGATAGCGTTCGATTGAATTTGAATTGGAAAACTGGGCGCCGAGATATCCTATGGATTTCTTTTTCTTATAACTGGAATGAAAATGACTGGAGTTAATATGGCTGGATAATTCAAAATATACTTACCACCGTTATTAAATGTTCTCATAGTTTTTTTTCTCTAATATAACTGATAGTAATATATCTATATATACCTAAAATATTTTAACAAGACTGCTCGTATCAATGCGCAACCTTGAATGTTCCGACTGCTTTTTGATTTCTATGGAGTTTTTTGAATTAAAATAATAGATGAAATTTTTTGAAAATGAAAAATTCAAAGAAATTTCAAAAATTTTTTGATTCTTTTAAAAACTTTTTCCCCAAACGCCATGTAAAGTACAAAGGGATATATTTTGCATTTAGCAGAGCTTTGAATAGACCAAAGAGCATGCTTCAATCGAATTTGGATCAGATTCTAGGACGTAATAAATCTCCGCTTACTCGTTAATAGAGCAAAATGTATCGCGTATTAATTGTCCCAAATTGGCCAAATTGGTAATCTTTAACCCCCCCATAACTTCACGAAAAAAGATGCCGAGTAAAAATTATACTTGTTTCATCTGGAGCTCGAGACAACAATACCTTTCGAATGATATAAAAAATTCCGTCAAAAGTTGCTAATTAAAAAGTCAAATTTTGTTTGGAGAAATAAAACTCTCCGAGCACAAATTTTCCGTCAGTTTCTTTGAAAAAAATCAGATCAAAAACGAAGTAACCAACTTCAGACGTAGCCATTAACACTGGAGAGAACTTACTAGACATAACTCTTCCTCATCTGTCACTGAATATACTGATGCTGAAATCTTCAGTGAACAATTTAAAACTTTCGGGTCTCTTTAACTATTGAACAATGGTTCCGAATATTTTCAAAGAAAATAACAAAAAACATTTGTGCTCGGGTGTTTTTTTTCCTGACTAATTGCGACTTTTTAGCTAGCTCATTTTGACGGAATTTTTTTTATATCATTCAAAAATTATTGTTGCCTTGAGCTCAAATTTGAAAAGATATTTCGGATCAACCGTACAATCTCCCCCAAGCCACATATTAGTTTTGAAAACTGATTTTGTATAAAATATTCTTTTCAAGCAAAAGCGCAGAATAGACAGCTTGAAAAAAACTTTTCAAAAGGAATACTTATTTTATACTGTTAATTAACCAAATTTTTATTCATAATTATTTTTGAATGAATTTTTTTGACTAATTAGGTCAATTTAATTTACCTCAAAGTTGATATATGAAAAATCAGTATTTCATCTCCCCTAAATTGATTAAGGGGAATTGTACAGCTGATCCGATGTTTCACCTAAGATAATGTTTTTTAAAGTAATGGGATTTTAATATTTGCCAAAATTTTAAAAGAAAATAAGACTCCTCTATCAGAGCAAAACCATTTATGATCTTCTTGTCCACAAAAGCCGACAAACATTTAACCAATGATAAAATGAAAGAAAAAATTCGAATTCATTTGATTATTTTATAATTCGTTTTGTCCCCCACTAGCAATTGAGAAGATCAGTGATATATTTTGCGTCTGGTGAGATTTTAACAAGATTGCTCATATCAAAAACAAAGCCTGAGAATTTTTGTCCTAAATTTTTTGCCTAATAAATAGTTTTGACTGAAAATTGAAAATTGACAAATTGGCCATGTTTTGGACCAAAATATGTTCGCTTTCAAGAATTTATTCATATTTGCTGAGAACGTAACACGAATTATTTATGCGTGGCGAATTATTCCCAACAACAAAATCGTTACAAATTGAATTGAGGCTAGCTAATCGGATGGGTCGTATTAATTTTTACGGCCCAATATTTCACATTTCACTTTGATATTGTTCAAAATTTTTAGATTTTCAATACTTTCTTTTCCCAATAACTATTCGATATGAATTAAGGGATAGTCGGAACATTCAGGGCTTTGCTTTGATATAAAAGCATTCTTGTTGCTTATATCTGATAGGTTGAACGGAACAAGGGACTAATTATTTTTTAGCTTACGCGTTAATAGAATTAAATTTATTGCGCGTTACTTAGTCTATATTAGCCAATTTGGCAATTTCCAAAACCCTTTTTTACAAAAAAGGTCCATGGTGAAGTATCTGAAAATATTAATTTTGAGCTCAGATCATCACTAACTTCCAAATGATATTGAAAACTTCCGTCCAAAATGGCTAGTACGAAAGTCCAGTTTTTTCCGAAGAAATGAATCCTGAAACACCCTCTCTCCAATTACTCCACTTACGTCCTCATTTCCTCCCACACTTCTCTATCTCCAGGGGGTGTTATTTCCTTGAGGGTTATAGTGAGGGTTGGCCAAAATATAGTCATGCGAGTATGTTTAGAAATTGAGTGGGCAGGGATTAATGCGGAAAATATTGCAAACATCACGAATGATTTACCAAAAGTTATACAGATTACAATCTATTATGGGTTTAAAATTGACAAAATCCAATAAATTTTTTGGAAAATAATTGCTTATAATGAATTCATAATTTATTTTAAAATCTAAAATTGTAATTGTAACCCATTATAATGGAACTATAACCGATTATATTTTCATGAAACTCCAGTGGCCAGTGAGCAACAATAAAATCTGTCACTTTCCTTTGAAAATCAAAACAATTACAATACTGATTTTCAGAACAACTAATTTCAGATCCATTTCGCATTTTTTTGGTTAATTTTTGCATTAAATCTGCTACAAGCCATTTTTTTTGCAAACAACCCTCCATTTATCTGTTACATTACGCAGAGCGAATCGGCTCATGTGTTATGCAATCGCACAACACAGTTAAGTAATCAAGGTGCTGTGTTACAAAGTAACAGTTATGAAATACTGTTTGTGTGCAAGGTGTTGCTTACATTACAGTTATGTAATAATATTTTTTTTTCTGCAGAGGAGAACCACGGCACATGGCTGGCGGAGAAAATCAAGTTGAACTCCTCCAAGTACGTGCGACCAGTGAAGAACCAGTCCTCGACTGTGGACGTGACCTTCAGACTGAACCTGTACCAGATATTGGGCGCAGACGCTGTCAACCAACACATACACTTGCACTTCTGGGCAGAAATGAAATGGTAAGAGAGTCCACCTAGGTGTGATAGTTGGGTCCCTAGAATACGCCAGTATGATAGCTATGGGCCCCACCTTTGGTTAGGAAAAACCTAGTGCTTCCATCATGCAAATTCTTACCAAGGTCATATTAAGGCTTCCAAGTAAGATGACTCTATTTCACCAAGATCTTGCATAGGGATCCTGGATTTTGCATATGATCTTGGACGACTTTGCATGATAACTTTGCAAGGTCTTGCATGATGAAGGCATGGTTTTCCATGATTAGATTATTGGGAAGTTCAAAAGCACAAACTAACAAATGCAGAAACTTTTCCCAAAAATATTAATTCACGTAAGTTTCTTTTAAGAGATCCAACTGACGTACTTACAGAGTCAACCGTAAGAGTTCATTAGATGGCAAAGATGTTTTTTGTGTGTTTTTTTTCAAACTGCAATCTGTCAATAGTTAAAGTTAGCTCTTGAATTAATTTTGAGATTTTGCTTTTGTGAAAAAATGGAAGTATGTTAAGCATGGAAGCACGCACCGATTTACACGGCGAGCACCACAGCCCAAAAAGTAATATTTTACGAGAGCTCTTTTCCACATTTGAATTTCAGTTTCGATTTCTAGGTTTACTTAGTCAAAATTTAATGAAATTTTGCATGGTGAACAACTTAACTATTGTGAACATATTTTTTCTTCATACCCTACATCATAACATCAAATATTCAGCCTTAATTAAACGTAAGACAACTGACAAAAAAGTGGGGGAGGGGAGTGGAAAAGAGTTTTTACGAGAAGTTTCAAAAGACATGTATATATGCAGGGGCGGATCTAGGATTTTCTCGAGGGGGGGGCGGATTTTCAAAAAAATGTCGAACATTTTGACGACCTTTTTTTTTTTTTTAGGTCGATCAGATTGATTTTCCGAGCTCTCCCAAAGCAGTAAAAAGACCCTGTTTTGGCCAAATTTTCTGCGCCGCAGGCAATTTTTTGAAAAAACAGGTCAAAAAAGCCGTTTTTGGGCACTTTTTGGAAAATTTTGACAAAAAAAAACGCGTTTTTTGGCGCGCGCTCCCCCTGAAAACTAGTATATATTGGCGCCAAAGGCGCCTTTAGAAAAAATTTAGGGTCGGTCGGCCAAAATTGGATTTCTTAAAAAGTACCAAAGGGGGGACCCTTTGGGTTGGCAGGGGTTCGAATCCCTGAGGGGGGGGGGGGGCGTCCGCCCCCCCGCCCCCCCCCTAAATCCGCCCCTGTATATATGTATATATAATTTTTTGAAGGTTGTTTTGATGTCTGACATCTGGTCTCTGAAAAATGGCTTTCGGAAAACTCAGAACTCAGAAAACATGTTTTCGTCCGTCTCGTGTTTTGAACAGATACTCCTGCTCTAAAGGATTCATTTCCATTAGCCTAACTGCAAAGTTACAAGGATGGCATGATTGATGAAGAAAAGTGGAGGGCAATTCATTAAGAGAGAGGGGAGACTTTGCAGTCTAACTTTTAGATCTGGACTGTTTAACTATGAAGCTAGATACGACTAGTAAAAAATAGAAGTTAATGAACCGTGGAAAGAGTGACGTTTAATTGATCACTGAATGAAAGGCATCTTAATAGCAGGGCACTAGTTGAAACTCTACGATATATATAAAAAAAGGAATGGCAGATTTAGGAATGTCAGAAAGGTCAGCATAAAAATTTATAGATTTTTAAATACGCTCAATTTTGAATTCAAAAATCAGAAGCTGAAAATTGATCATTACTATTAAGTCGATTTTAGTGTGTGTGTGTGTGTGTGTGTGAGTGTGAGGGGGGAGGGGAGGTAGGATATGTAATTCAACTATGCCCGGATTTTTGGGGCCAAATGTTGAATTTTGACTTTTTGTCTTCAAAAACAGAAGTTTATTTCTGCCTCTTCAAAAACTAATTTGTCCATAAGAGACATCCTATTAATTTTAAGGCACTCTTTTCAATTCATGCTGAAAAAGTAATGCAATGAGAAAATAATGCTGAAAAATTGGGATTCTTTCTCAGATTGTTTTCGATTTTACTCTCAGTTCAATCGAAAAAGAGTGTCGCGCCGGCGCCGAGGTATTGAAGCAAAGAAAGAAACGCGGATATGGACAGGAAACACTATAGTCATTTTGTCGGTTCATGGTTCTCTTTGGAGTCTTGTTGGAAATGAGAAATTGAGAACCTCTCCTTTTTCGTTTGTCCTGTAAACAAGATAAGACTTGCTAAATATGGAAAAAAAATCAAATGAAATACATATACTCTAAACTCAAATCTATGCTAAGAAGACGACATGGAGGGAATGTTCTGGTGATAAAATGCCCCATGGTCCGAAAGTTTTCAAGGTTATTTAAGTTCAAACCCTGTTTTTTACAGAATTTGTATTCAAAAATTTCTGATTGGCTAATATAATTTACGTGTAGTCAGTCTTTCTGCCATGAGGTGTTGCTTCTATGATTGAGATACTGCCACGAATGTTCCGATAACGCGTCAAGTTACAAAATATGCGAGCAAAAATGTCTTTACAGGTCTAAATAAATTTAGCAAGTTTATAATCCGGATTTCATTTACTACAGTCTATTTTCGTTTCTAGAAATAAGTATTAAATTTGTCCTGACTTTGTTGCTCCAACTTTTGAAGAAAACGAAATTTTTATGCTCGGTGTGGTTTTTTTATTCAATTTTTGCCCAACATTTTTTATACCTCATTGAAGATATTGACTTCTTGAGTTCAAATGTTAAAAGATATTCTACCTCCGATTGTTTTTTGTACAGTATCGGGGGTTTGAAAATTGCCAAATTGGCATGTTCTGGACTAAATTATGCGCGTTTTGAAGAGTTTATTTGTAATTTTGAGAGCGTAACGTGAATTATTTATGCGTGATAATTATCCCGCACAACAAAATTGTTCCAAATTGAATTGAGGCTAGCTAATTGGTCGTATGAATTTCGATTGATTTTACACTTTGATATTGTCCAAGTTTTATAGGTTTTCAATTTTTTCTTTTCCCGAAAATTCGATATAATTTAGGGGACAGTCGGAACATTCTGTTGCAAAATGGAAACAGATATTTTTTTGATCGAGTTTTCGGATTTATTGAAACAATCTTCACCCCTTCAAGAAAGAGGGAGAGATTGTTAAGTAGAATCAGTTAGTCAAACTTTAGACCAATCAAATGGCAGAAAATTCAGAACTGGAAAGCTCTTGTGCTTATTTAATGCTTTGTATATAGGGGTGGACATTTTTCAAGTCGATACCATATGGGTGTAAATGTTAATTAGATCTAGATTTTTTCCTGTCTTTTGAAAAATAATCATAAGATGTGACTGACAGCATTCCATTAGAATTTCCGGAAAATAGACGGGTTGATAGGACAAGGAACCTTGTGCAATTAAACCCAAAAAGAACACGTTGAACCCACAAATCGAACATAATTTATCATTTTGCTGGTTTTTTCATCGAAATAATACAAGCGCAGGCCTTAGGTAGAAAAAAAATCGCTGACACTTTAAATCATAATAATTTTTTGTTTTTCTACACATGTTTTTTTTGTTTCAAACCTTTAGCAGTTTAAAGTGGTTAATCCAATATGGTTAAAGAACATTCAGTTTAAAAACTAGTTTGTTTTACTTTGAAAAATTTCATGGTCATTTTTTTGGTTGATAGTTGAATTGAGCCTGCTTCCAATTCATATCTTAAACAAATTTTGAAAATTTCTGTGCTCCGGTAACAATAAGACTCAAAGAAAACTTGTTCAAAAAATATTGAAATGGACTCTAGTGTAAAATTTTTTTCTCTTTCATCAGATAGATTTTATTGTTCTTGTAATTAAGTAGGAAAAACATTACTTGAAGCCTAAGAATCTACACATTTTAGTGTTCGGTAAAATAACTTCCCACATTCTGATAGCTTTCTAAGATAATTACGGTGAAGTTTTTTAACACTGAACTCATTTGAGGTTGTGCAAAAGTTTAACGAAATTAGTTTTGAGTGATAATTTGCATTAAAAAGTTTATATTGTAAGAGACACGCAGTAGATAAGTTTTTATAGACTGTTTTTGGGCCACATTTTTTTGTCAACATAATTAATTTCAACCTCAAATTTGTGTTGGGGCACGGCCAGTCGACAAAATTAGCTTCATTTATTCTGATATGTAAAACAAGAAAACATTGATTTTGAAAAATAACAAGACTGCTCGTATCAGGGCGAAGCCCTGAATGTTTCGATTGCCTTTTAAGGTCTATAGAGCGGAAATAACATGAAAAAATTAAATGTAAAAAAAATTAAATGAATTTTTTTAATTTGGGAGAAACCCACCCCGACTCAAATTCCGTTAATTTTTTTACAAAGTCGGAACAACAACCCGATTTCAATGATACGTTGATTTTGTCAATGCTTTAAAAAAATCAAACCAAACTTATAACTTATTGTTATTCATAGAAAAAAGCTGAAAATTTAAGGAAACTACTTTAAGGTAAGGTTTATATGTACTGCTGTTGACGCCAACTAGAGTTTGAAGATGGTTTCATGATGTTTGTTTTACTTTGAAAACAAAATTGGTGTTTTTAAGACGCCAGTTTTGGCCAAAAGAGTTGGCCACACATTATATTTTAAAAACAAAATTGGTGTTTTTAAGACGCCCGTTTTGGCCATAAGAGTTGGTTTCGGGTTCTCTAACTGCATTATATTCTCAACGTTTAACGCTTGATTGCTATACATTGCTTACTGTTACAGTTTCAATTACTTTTAAAAGTGACGTGAAAAATCTGTTTTAAATATTTATATAGTCTGACGCCCAAAATATCGGTACTGCGTTCGGAATTACCTTGTCTCAGCCAGCATCTACGTACATAGCTTAAATACAGCAAATTAAGTCTAGTATTTGTGGCATTCTAATATTCCAGACCAATTTGCATTGGAATAGTTCTGAATACTTTCTGAGCTGTTTTAATTCGCCGCATTTTCACTACGCGTTATTAGAAAAAAAGAAAATAAAGCATGCATTC